GGGGAGCCGGGTGGGGGGGCAGCGGGACAGGATGGCTCGTCCCTCCTGTGACGCCATGGTTCCCCGCAGTGCCCCAGCGAGACGTACGACCCCCTCCTGCGGTCCACCAAGGACTTTCCCGACGAGGTGATCAGCTTCATGCGCAGCCACCAGCTGATGTGGGAGCCCGTGTACCCCCAGGGCCGCCAGCCCGTCCTGGTGCGAAAAAACCGGCTACGGCGGCTTCTCGTGCACCGGCTGGAGACGGAGAGCCGGCACTACGACCTGCTCTTCCTCGGCACAGGTGGGAGCTCGCCCCAGCTTTGGGGACACTGTCGGCACATGTGGTACACAGGTCCTGCTGGCCAGGCGGCTCCCAGCTCTGACAGTGTCTTCTGCTACCCTCACAGATGATGGCAGAGTCCTGAAGGTGGGACTGGCCGTGGGTTTGAGCCGCAGCCCTGAGTTGATCAGCCTGGAGGAGATCAGCGTCACTAAGGTACGGGACCCCAGGGCTGGACCACACAGCCTGTGCTCATCCCGCAGCATCCTTCCTGCAGGCTCCTGCAGCAAGTCTTAGGGACTTTTTACATGGGGATGCAGTGACAGGATGAGGGGTAATAGATTTAAACTGGAAGAGGGCAGATTTAGACTAGATATTAGAAGAAATTTTGCACTGTGAGGGTGGTGAGGCAGTGGCCCAGGTTGCCCAGAGCAGCTGTGGATGCCCCATCCCTGGAGGGGTTCAAGGCCAGGCTGGATGAGGCTTTGAGCAACCTGGGCTAGTGGGAGGGGTCCCTGCCCATGGCAGGGGGGGTGGAACTGGATGGTCTCTAAGGTCCCTTCCAACCCAAACCATTCTGTGATTCTGTGATTCTAAGTCACTACCTCTATCAGCATGGTCCCTTGGTGTCGCTGGTGGCTCCCACCTGCCCTGCCCGCAGGCGATGCTGTCAGCATGGAGGGAAGCCAGGGGACCAGAGCCACCGCCCAGCTCCCCATCCCGCCCCAGGGGAGATGGGGTAGGCACACTGGAGACTGAACTAAAACAGGAGGGCTGAGCCCAGGTGTGCCAGCAGGGCTGCCCCAGGGGAAGGCTGGGGAGTCCAAGAGGGACTGACGTGGCTGCAGCACCCTCTCCTTCCCCCCCAGGTGCCTTCTCCCATCCTGGACATGAAGTTATCACCGAAGCGGGTGAGTCCCCCCCTTTAGCAGCCACGGGACAGGGCACAGAGGGTAACTGCTCCCAGCTCCTCTGCCTGGGTCCCTTGTCCCCAGGGCTTGCACCATTACGGAGTGGGCTCCTGCCAGGGCAGCCTGGGGGGTGGCAGGCTCTGCCCCCAACCCAGCGCAGGGCAGGGGGCTCCATTCCCCGGATAGCCCTGGTGTTGAAGGCCACTTTTCCCCTCGCCCGAGCAGCAGGAGCTGTTTGTGAGCAGCACCCATGGGCTGCTCCAGCTCTCCCTGTACCGCTGCGAGCTCTACGGCAAAACCTGCACGGACTGCTGCCTGGCCAGGGACCCCTACTGCACCTGGGACGGCCGGACCTGTGCCCCCCACCTGCTCACTGAGAAGAGGTGAGCATCCACCTGCAAAGAGATGGTGTTCAGAGCAGGGAAGGACAAGTTGCCGTTCCTGGAGGCTTTACCTGTCAGCCCAGACCCCTCCTGCCATGCCACCTGCCTGTCCCCCAGCCCTCCTGTCCTCCCTGGAGGGGTCCCACAGCCCCCTGTGGGTGCCCCCCCAGCACTGTGGGTGCCCCCCCAGCACTGTCTGCTCTCCCGCAGGCGTGCCCGCTGCCAGGACGTGCTGAAGGCTGACCCGCGCAGCCAGTGCCAGGACACTGCCGAGGGTGAGTGCCAGCCCCAGTCCCTCTGGGGAGCAGCAGTGCACTGGGAAGGCAAGCAGCAGGGCACAGGGAAACCAGTGCCCACCACTGCCCCAGCATCGCCTGCCACACACTCCATGCCCCCCTCCATGTGCTGGATGCTGCCCTCCCTTCCTGCCGGTCACACCACTCCCGTGCAGAGCAGTCACCCCTTCCCCTGTCCCCGTGCAGGGACGGCTGTCACGGAGAAGCTGGTTTTTGGGGTGGAGAAGAACTCGACCTTCCTGGAGTGCCTGGCGCGCTCCCCACAGACAACGGTGCGGTGGCTGGTGCGGCACGGCGAGGAGACCAGCCTGAGCGAGGTACAGGGGAGGACATGGTGATGGGGACAAGGCACAGGGTTGGCTCGGTCCCTGGGGACTAATCCACGGTGCTCTGCCTTTGCCCCAGGTGAGGACCAATGGCCGCTTCTCAGTGCTGGAGCCAGGCCTGCTGATCCGGCAGCTGGCGAGGGAGGACACGGGCACCTACGAGTGCCAGGCGGTGGAGCGCTCCTTCTCCCGGCCCCTCACCCGGTACAGCCTCCG